CATCCAACCACTCAGTCTTGACAGTGCAGATGAAAAATTGGGAGCCGTTTGTGTTGGGTCCAGCATTTGCCATGGACAAGATGCCGGGACCTGTATGCTTTAGGATGAAGTTCTCATCCTCAAATTTCTCCCCGTAGATGGACTTGCCACCAGTGCCATTATGGCGTGTGAAGTCACCACCCTGACACATAAACCCTGGAATAATTCCGGGAAAGCAGGAACCCTTATAACCAAATCCTTTCTCTCCAGTGCTCAGAGCACGAAAATTTTCTGCTGTCTTTGGAACCTTGTCTGCAAACAGCTCGAAAGAGACGCGGCCCAAGAGCTCGCCGTCGACGGCAATGTCGGAGAACACAGTGGGGTTGACCATGGCTGATACTAGAAGGCTCCAGGCGGCGTCCGCGTCTGCAAAGCCCATTTTTTTTTTTTTTTTACATCACATCTTTAGTGTAGTTCTATTTATCAGTTTTACCCTTTATGGTTAGCTTTTTTAAAATTTGGTTTAAGAAATCTTTCCCTCTTCTGAGACCACAAATTTTTTTTTAAGTTTAAATTTCTAAACTTTCTGGTTTTTTCTTCTTTCTATGCCACCCAGGCTGGAGTGCAATGGCACGGTCTCGGCTCAATGCAACCTCCACCTCCCGGGTTCAAGCGATTCTCCTGCCTCAGCCCCCCGAGTGGTTGGGATTACAGGCAGGCACCACCACGCCTGGCTAATTTTTGTATTTTAGTAGAGATGGGGTTTCACCATGTTGGCCAGGCTAGTCTCGAACTCTTAACCTCAAGTGATCCTCCCACCTTGGCCTTCCAAAGTGCTGGGAATACAGGCAAGAGCTTCTGTGCCTGGCCTAAATTTCTAAACTTTCTAAAGAATCTCGTACACTAAGTGAAACAATACCAAATTGTTAAAAAGTTATTCTCATTTGCTGGCTGGGAGCAGAGGCTAACATCTGTAATCTCAGTACTTTGGGAAGCCATGGCGGATGCATCACTTGAGGTCAGGAAATTGAGACCAGCCTGGACAACATGGTGAAACCCTGTCTCTACTAAAAAGAGACTGTGCCACTGCACTCCAGCCTGGGTGATGGACTAAGACAGTTCTTAAAAAAAAAAAAAAAAAAAAAAAAAAAAGTTATTCTCATTTTCTATGTTACTAATGTAGTAAGTGGATAATATACCAATACAATTAAACTGAAGGCTTAAAGAGAAACTGGGTTGTAAGAGGCAATATTTCTTACTCACTTCATTCTGAAGCCATATCCCTATGGCCAGGAGTGGTGGCTCACGCCTATAATCCCAGTACTTTGGGAGGCCAAGGCAGGCAAATCGCCTGAGGTCAGCAGTTCGAGACCAGCCTAGTCAACATGATAAAACCTCATCTCTACTAAAAATAGAAAAAAACTTAGCCAGGCATGTTGGTGCATGCCTGTAATCCCAGCTACTCAGGAGGCTGACGCAAGAGAATTACTTGAACCCGGGGGGCAGAGGTTGCAGTGGGCCAAGATCGCATGGCACCACTGCACTCCAGCCTGGGTAGCAGAGGGAGATTCCATCTCAAAAAAAAAAAAAAAAAAAAAAAAAACTATGATGAAAAAAGTTACATACAAAAAGAACTGTATGTATTTTTTATATAGACACATAAAGTGAGATAAATTAGACCAATTAATTTATGCTTATTTATGCATCAAAATTTTTTAGGAATACACAAGACTGTGGTTACCAGTCTATACCCACTGTCTTCTTTTCTTCACGAACATGGGTTATGGGTTAACGTCTTAATTTAAATATTAGAAGCTTTTGAAGTAAATAAAGTCAATTTATATCTTTTAGAAAAAATTAGTACACTGAACTTAGGCCAGCTCAAGAATCACGGATACACTAAAGGAGTCAAGGAGACTAGGTTATCTTAGCATGTCATAAGATAGATGCTCAGCTGGCCTGGCATGGTGGCTCACTCATGCCTGACAGAAATGTTCACTTTGGGAAGCTGAGGAGGATCACTTGAGCTCAGCAGTCTGTGACCAGCCTGAGTAACATGGTAAAACCCTGTCTCTATAAAAATTACAAAAATTACCCCGGCACGGTGGCATGTGCCTGTAAGCGCTACTTGGAGGGCTGAGGTGGGAGGACTGCTGAGCTAGGGAGGTTGAGGCTACAGTGAGCTGTGTTCACGCCACTGTACTCCAACCTGGGTGACAAAGCGATATCCTGTCTCAGGGAAAAAAAAAGTTGCACAGCCATCTCAGTGTGGGCCTTGGAACCCTGGGATCAAAGAAAAGGTTAGGTACGCTGGTTGCTAACAGGTTTTTAACAGTTTAAGAGACACACCGGACTAGTCCAATGGTAGTGCGTTATCAGAACTTATAAACATTAGTGTCACTAAAAGTTGGTATACAACCCCCCCCACTGCTAAATTTGACTGGCTTAACACACACACACACACACACACACACACACACGCATGCACACACGAGAGGGAGAGAAAGAGAGAGAGAGAGAGAAGCAATATAATACAGTAGAAATCCCGAAAGCTTTTAAGTCCAGAGAATTCAAATCCAGTTTAGTCACTTAGTAACTACTAAGTTATTATTTATAACTAAAGCAAATTATTTAGACTCTCTAGGCCTCAGTTTCCACATCTGTAAAATAAGAGAATTCTCTACATAAATGGTTCCAGATCTTTATATATACAAGGGTCCCTATTTATAAGTTGTTTAGAAGTCAAAAGTTTTCTAATAACATAAGCATATTTTGAGTACCCAAATACTCAAAACCTTTGGAAATTATAAAGTTTTAAAAGTCTGATAATACTTAAAGTTGATAACAAAACGGAGAAAGAGCTATTGGTGGACACCTATTTAGAGCAACCTATTAGGACAGCTTGACAACGTCTATTTAATTATAAACACTTGATCCAGCAAATCTCACCTCTAAGACTTTATACTAAAGATACGCTTACACAGTGGACAAAGACACATGCCTGAGAATGTTCACCACAGTATCATTTGTAATCACAAAAGATGGGACCCTAATAAATGTCCAAGAATAGGGGAATGCATACATAAATGGATACATCCCCAAATTAAAAATCATACGCTCTTCTAATAGAAATATAAACTAGTACTTTGGGAGGCTGAGGCGGGTGGATCACGAGGTCAAGAGATCGAGACCATCCTGGTCAACATGGTGAAACCCTGTCTCTACTAAAAATACAAAAAATCAGCTGGGCATGGTGGCACATGCCTGTAATCCCAGCTACTCAGGAGGCTGAGGCAGGAGAATTGCCTGAACCCAGGAGGCGGAGGTTGCGGTGAGCCGAGATCGTGCCATTGCACTCCAGCCTGGATAACAAGAGTGAAACTCCGTCTCAATAAATAAATAAATAAATAAATAAATAAATAAATAAATAAATAAACTAATATAACACTTTCAGATGGCCAATCCAGGAACAATACTGATCCCAATTCTTATAAACTGTAATGACCTCTGAGCCAACAATTTGACTTTTAGAAATATATTCGCAGAACTAATTAATGATATGAGAAAAGACAGATAGAAATGTTCACTGAAGCTCTTTAAAATGGCAATATACCCTCTTACAACCTATTGTTAATAAGTCAATCAAATAATGGAAAATATAGTCAGTCATCAAAAATGTTATAGATGACTATTAAAATAAGATATTCACTATTAAGGGGAAAAAGTGGGCAAAGGGTAACATACAATTTGTATAATCTTTTTTTGTAAAAAGAAAATCACTACATATAACATATAGAGACATATAAAAATAAACATACATACAGTATAAAAGTAACACTCAGTTATCTCCAGGTGGTGGGATTATAGTGAAAAAATGTTTTTTCTTCCTTTTGATTTTTTTCACTTTATAGTTTTTCTACAATGCATATATATATATACACACACACACACACACACACACATATACATACGTGTGTGTGTGTGTGAGAGAGAGAGAGAGAGAGAGAGAGAGAAAGAGAGAGATGGAGTTTTGCTCTTGTTGCCCAGGCTAGAGTGCAGTGGCATGATCTTGGCTCACTGCAACCCCCGCCTCCTGGGTTCAAGGGATTCTCCTGCTTCAGCCTCCCAAGTAGATGGGATTACAGTCATCCAGCATCACACCCACCTAATTTTTGTATTTTTGGTAGAGATTTTAGTATTTTTTTAGTAGGGATTTCACAATATTGGCCAGGCTGGTCTCAAACTCCTGCCCTCAGGTGATCTGCCAGCCTGGGCCTCCCAAATTGCTGGGATTACAGGCATAAGCCACCATGCCCAGCTGCATATATTATTTTTGTAGTAATACAACTATTTTAATTTTAAAGGAAATAAAATAATTAAAAATAAAGTCTCTTGCAGCAACGCAATGATTCTATGAAAGTGCCTATTTCAGTTGTGAATCTTGAGATATAACTGGTCAGTAACTCACCTTCAGAGTACAGAAATAGACATCAGAAATTAAACAGAAACCAATTACTATATAGCATCTCTAGAAAAAAAAAACACTATAAACACTAGTCTTTCAACATTTCTTTCACGTAGACAACAGCCCTATCCTATCTTCCATACTCAGGAACCAATAAACAAATGAATCTGCCAGAGAAAAACTGCCCTGGGAAAACTCTTAACCAAACTAACAGAATTCTTCTAATTCAAGAAACAAAACAACCAACCAACCAACCAAACCAAAAAAGCCCCAGATCTCTTTAACAGTTAAGAATTTTGAGTTGACATTTTCTGTCCTAGAAATTATCAGTAGCAAGAATCTACTGCTCTCTCACTTGAAACGCCAGTATCAAGTCAGCACTAACTTAGAAGGACTATACAATCTACAGAATCACTTCCATATCATTACTAAATTCATTTTCCAACTAGTAGAACCACATCTGTACGTAACTAAACAGGTATGGCTGTTCCTAAGACCTTTTTTATTCTTTCATCCCTCTAGCCCAGGATTATTATTTCCCAATAATCCCACTTACCATTGTTGTTGGCAATTAGTGTGACAAGAGTCTTCTTTGTACTGTCGCTGTTCTGTGCCCCGCTGCTACTAACGGTGGTGGATGTAGAGAGGTGCCCAGCAACAGAAGCATGGGCAGCGATGGGCACTGGAGCCGAGACTGGCTGCTGGCTCACAGAAACTGTGGGGAAGGGGAGGCACAGTCACTTGGAGACAGGGACAGATGACACTAAAGGATACTGCTCTAATCTTCCCTTTCCATCTTGTTGTGGGCTATAGCCAGAAAGTTTCCAGTTTCATACATCTAATTGTCCATGTGATTTCTCCTCCTACTTATCCCTTAGTCCACCATTTAGACACAATTCCTTCTTTGTCTCACATCTCCTGGTTAATTAAGTTACATCACTGAGCCCACTGAACTGGGGTTTTAATGTTTAGCTTACATAGCACTAGCAAACCTCTAGGACTCAAAGGTTTATTATTGCCACTAGTGGTATTCATGACCATGCATATTAAGCCATCCAAAGACCCTGACCTGTGTCCTAGTTCAGCCTAAACCAATGCTATCTTCAGCTCTCAAGGCAGGGAAGATAAAAATAAAGACCAACTGGTACAATTTAGGGAAAAAAAGAACTATCACCCATTTTCTGAATTCAGGGCAATCTAGAATTTGACCCAGCAGTATCACCTTTATGAAAGAAAAGCTAACAAGCCTAAATTTGTAAACTGTCCATGAAGGCAGACACAAAGCAATTTCTACTCAGCTCACAAAGGAAACCAAGTTCAAGAAAAACAAAACAAAACAAACAAAAAAATCAAGACTCTGGGAACCTATTTTTGACTGGGTACATAAATAAGCACTGACACACACACCACCACTTTGAATTCTTGTTCATACATCTTTTAGTAAGAAGACTGCTAGATATTTGATAAACATTGGTTAATCCAATCTTCCAGTGTTTTTGATGAATTAAATATATAGTTTCTAGCAATATGGATGAGGAAACTGAGGTTTTCACAGATAGATCTTGGAAAAAAAGGTAGCACCAGTGCCACAATGAGGTCTCCCTGGATTCTTAAAGCTCTTTTCCATGTCACACTTTTTGAACGAAAATGCCATTCAATTTAATCAAACGACCATCTAAGATGAGAAGAACTTTTGTTACCTGTGGTAGTTTTATCCACTGAATTATAATCTTCAACTACAGAGTCCTCAATGACATCACTGATTTTCTGCCATGGCTCCAACTCCTCCTCCTCACATTCCATGAACAGATCGGTGTCCGCCATGCTACAAGAAAACATTCAAATAAGATATCCGTCTAGAAATAGGAGATATTGCTTTATATCAAATATGAAATCAGAACTTTGATTCCATTGATAACCTACCTCCTTGGGCTCCTTTACCCTATCCCCTAGCCTTCCTCCATTTCCCAGAGTTCAGAATTACAACTTTTATGGTTGAATATTAGAATCCAATCCACAGCAAATTCTTTAATAATTATGATTACAGGCAAGCATGGTGGCTCCTGTAATCCCTGCACTTGGGAGGCCAACACAGGTGGATCACTTGAAGTTGGGAGTTAGAGAATCAGCCTGGCCAACATGGCAAAACCCCATCTGTACTCAAAATACAAAAATGAGCCAGGCGTGTTAGTGCACCCCTGTAATTCCAGCTACTTGGGAGGCTGAGGCATGAGAATCGCTTGAACCCAGGAGGCAGAGGTTGCAGGGAGTTGAGATCACACCACTGCACTCCAGCCTGGGGGGACAGAGTGAGTGTCTCTCTCTCAAAAAAAAAAAAAAAAAAAGAAAAAACGATTATAAAAGTTTAATGTGTAATACCAGGGCCAGGGTTAGGTTGAGGACAGTGAGGTGAGTCAAACAAGTGCAGGATCGGATCCAGTCTTTATTTAAAATTGATTATTTTGTGCATTATGAGTTGTTTGCATTAATATTCATCTTTTAAAAATGATGCATTTATTGTGATTACCGAACCTCTCTGTACTCCTTTAAATTCTGCGCCTAAGATGAGAACCTCACTTGTCATACTAGTCCCAGTCTTACTACTACCTTGTACTTCTAGTCTAGGAAATTCTGGAGGCTACTCCATTGTAATTTTGGAGTCAATCCTTAATTTGAAAACACTGTCTAAATTAGATGCCCCTTTTAACAATTAAAGTCTGGATCTCTGCATTGCAAACAAGGAGTTACTGCTATTCTGCCCCCAGTAACAGTTCACTTAGGGTCAGTTTCTTTGTCTTGGAACCAGAGTACTATTACTGCTCAATGTTCAAACAAAGTCTTTACCGCAAAGGCTCTCAGTGTCCTTAGCGTCTTAGTAATTCCTGCTGCTACATCCATAAGCCAAAACCAAAACCAAACAACTAACCTTTTTTTTTTTTAATATTTATTATTTTATATATTTTTTTAATTTATTTTATTGCATTTTAGGTTTTGGGGTACATGTGAAGAACATGCAAGATTGCTGCATAGACACACATGTGGCAGTGTGATCTGCTGCCTTCCTCCCCATCACCCACATCTAGCACTTCTCCCCATGCTATCTCTCCCCAACTCCCCTCCCCCTGCTGTCCCTCCCCTATTTCCCCCCAACAGACCCCAGTGTGTAGTGCTCCCCTCCCTGTGTCCATGTGTTCTCATTGTTCAACACCCGCCTATGAGTGAGAACATGCGGTGTTTGATTTTCTGCTCTTGTGTCAGTTTGCTGAGAATGATGGTTTCCAGGTTCATCCATGTCCCTACAAAGGACACGAACTCATTGTTTTTTTATGGCTGCATAATATTCCATGGTGTATATGTGCCACATTTTCCCTGTCCAGTCTATCATCGATGGGCATTTGGGTTGGTTCCAGTTCTTTGCTAAGAAAAAAACAAACAAGCCCATTCAAAAGTGGGCAAAGGATATGAACAGATACTTTACAAAAGAAGACATACATGAGGCCAACAAACATATGAAAAAATGCTCATCATCACTGGTCATCAGGGAAATGCAAATCAAAACTACACTGAGATACCATCTCACGCCAGTTAGAATGGCGATCATTAAAAAATCTGGAGACAACAGATGCTAGAGAGGATGTGGAGAAATAGGAACACTTTTACACTGTTGGTGGGAGTGTAAATTAGTTCAACCATTGTGGAAGACAGTGTGGCGATTCCTCAAGGCCCTAGAAACAGAAATTCCATTTGACCCAGCAATCCCATTACTGGGTATATATCCAAAGGATTATAAATCGTTCTACTATAAGGACACGTGCACACGAATGTTCATTACAACTAACCTTTCTGTTTAGTAAGTATTTGGTTAGGGCCATACAACTTGACAGTAGTAGTTTGCAAGATGCCCAACAGATGGCACTGTTTCCCTTAAAAATTGAAAGTATCTTGCAATGCCCCAGTGAGTTAGCTATAGCCAAGGGCAGTTTGGGTTTTAATAAAGTGCTTAACTGGATTCTAACTGGTCTTTAATCTTCTATTTTAATTATTTCTGTCTTTATAAACCAAAGCCACAGAGGGAGTGAGAAAAAAAAAAAGATTTAAGGGATCAACTTAAATTCTCTTATTTTCATGCTTGATTATATAAAGACAACACTGGCCAGAAACTGAATTAAAAATAAATCAAATCCATATCACAGGTATTCTTTGAGACAAAAACAACACATGCCTTTGTTTTCCAGTCTAATTCCACTACAAAATATATTTTAAACAACTTTTTCCTTAAATAATTTTATTCCATTGTTTTTTGCTATATAACTTTCTTAGAGCTTACAGTCAACAGATAATGCGTAAATATCCGAGACTCAGCAGAATGAATATAAACTGTGGATAATAACCTCTGCTGATTATCTTACTTCTGTCCCGACCAGTTACAAGCAAACTCTCCACACATATGCTAAGCAATCTGTAGAACACTTTCCTTTGGAATATGAAGAGCAATCAGAATACAAACTGTGGTTTCAATGCCATGCCTGTGGTTATTTTAATCGCATATCCAGAAGGGTGTTCTTTTATCTTAAGTATTTATAATATCTTAGGAGTTTCAGTTATATCTTTTATAAAGCAATGAATTTTAGTAAGAATACTGAAAATTTCTTCCATTTGACCATCAAAATCTAGTTGTTATTCCTCACACGACAAAGGCCTTCCAAGAGAAATGGAAAGAAATCCACCTTGGGTAATAGAACAAGACTACATATCTACACATTTTTTTTTTTTTAAATTAGGAGTGTTGCACATGCCGGTGGTCCCAGCTACTTGGGAGGCTAAGCTGAGAGGATTACTCGAGCCCACGAGTTCATCGAGGTTACAGTGAGCTTGAAGTTACGGTAAATGCAATGATACCACCGTACTCCAGCCTAGGCTGGAGAGCTAGAGAGCAATACCCCATCTCTATAAAATAAAATAATAAAAAACAAATGGGCTGAGGCAAGAGAATCGCTCGAACCTGGGAGACAGAAGTTGCAGTGAGCCAAGATTGCGCCACTGCACTCCAGCCTGGGCAACAGAAGCCACACTCCATTTCAAAAAAAAGAAAGAAAGAAAATCCAACTTACAGGGAAATATTTTTCATGTTTTTTAACAACATACGAGATGGAGTTAATAAATAAGGGTTTGTCAACTCAGAAAATATTAGTTCTGCTGACTGAACATATTTTACAGACTTACACACAAAACATCTCTGAAAGACATTGAAACCAAGTTTTTCAAAACACTTAGTCCTTGATTCTGACCTATACTCTGTTATCTCGATGTGATCAATTCCTTTCACTTTCAGCATCTGTAACTCAGGGTCAAAAACATGATACAAGGCCGGGCGCGGTGGCTCAAGCCTGTAATCCCAGCACTTTGGGAGGCCGAGGCGGGTGGATCACGAGGTCGAGAGATCGAGACCATCCTGGTCAACACGGTGAAACCCCGTCTCTACTAAAAAATACAAAAAATTAGCTGGGCATGGTGGTGCGTGCCTGTAATCCCAGGTACTCAGGAGGCTGAGGCAGGAGAAGTGCCTGAACCCAGGAGGCGGAGGTTGCGGTGAGCCGAGATCGCGCCATTGCACTCCAGCCTGGGTAACAAGAGCGAAACTCAGTCTCAAAAAAAAAAAA